TGGGGGTGCTTTTGTTGTGTGTTACTCATGTATTAAAATACCTGTTTCAAATGAAGGGCACTGTGGACTGTGTAAGAAAATCATAGAAAAAACCTAAAACCAGGATACAATTTATTGTAACAGAACTTCCGGAATTAGAATATCAATACTTGGCCTGAACACAATCAAGAATTCCAACCAAAAGACTAACCATTACAAAACAAAAAGATGATTATGATAAAAACACAAAAGCAATGGGAGAAAATTGGTCAATGTTATATATATTCCAGCCATAGAGCAATTTCAAGCAATAGAATTACTTAAACATTAACAATTAACAATTCAAAAGCACCTAAAAGAATCATCCACAAATTGGTGGAATTGATGTCAAACAACAGTCAGCATTTGATCATTCCTGATAAGGTTACAAATCTAGAATGCATGCCAGCTTTCAAGTCTGGCATTGCTCACAGTACGATGTTGGGTCAAACAGGAGGTTGATACCATCACTTTTGTCCGTTTTTGCTTCGGACCATCAATTGATAAGGCAGGCCTGGTTCATTTGCTATTGACCACATTACAGCTTTCAGAACAAATAAGAGGTCAAACTAACATCATCAATTTCGCCTTTTATTAACCATTTAAGGAGATAAAATGAGCCAAATCATAGGGAAAGGATATACAGATTTAGACCAGCACGAAAACGAAAGAGAAATCCAGTCTCAGAATCTACAGAAGTAATCCTAAAGAAAATAATCATAGTCAAGTAAACATCACCTAGCACCAAATTTTTAACAAAGAATGCCAAGAATTATAGAACTAAATCAATTCAGGTATAAAGTGTAACCCTCTTGCTACAGTCATCAGTGACGACAAAGGTACCCTCCTTCAGCAATAATATAAGACTTCAAGTACCACGATATCTTAGTAATAGAATTCATGTTGTGATTGGTGTTTACAATGACGAAGAAATAACAGAAGCCTCAAGATGAAATACAGACAATGAAATTGATATCGCCAATGTAACTTCTAGAAGTTGGATTTGCCACTAGCTGTTGCTGCAATTGGTTAAGATCCTTCAGACTAATCAGAGAATAAATGAAGCAAATACAAATGAGGTAGTCTGAGGGGAATTCTTATGTTGAAGCACAAGCTTCAATGCATTAAGCGGAAAAGAGGAAATAGCATGATCAATAGTACAGAGTTTTACCCCATAGGCTATGCAGAAAATTATCATTATTAAGCTTCACGAAGTCTAACAAAGTGCTCAAACATCAACATGGACCTTTGAGTCATCTGCAAGAACAGATGGGCGTTTAAGGCAGTCAAAGTGGACTAACATCTCATGAAGAGACATGACCGAAGATGGATTATAAGGGGACACGTTTTCAAGGAGGAGATACTAAGATCTCACATATTACAGTTGCGTATTCTGCAGGATTTCTCCATGACATTAACATTACTTGGGAAAAATCAATGAAACTCATATGAGCAAGCCATTAATTCTGGACAAGAAGAGTGAGACTATGTCCTGCAATTAATTTATCCTGGAAAGAAATATGGGCAGTATCGGGTAGACGCTCCCAGAAAACTAGCATGTGTTAGATGGGTGTTGCTCAACCGACGTAAATAACACGACACAAGCAACAAGAAGTAAGAACTCAAACTATGCAGCCACTTTCTACGTGGAATGTCAGTGGAATTTATTCATGATAGCATGAATCATAATGTACTGCAAAAACTGTGATATTGCATGAACGTACTATTCTACAATAAATATTAAAAAAAAAACTGATTATAAACATTTTAACCAATTAATGAAATTAACACATCATAAAACTCAAAGTTTAGCCCTAAAAATCCAGAGACCACACTACTAACAGCCAGAAATTGCACCAAAATATCATCTTTTTCTTATTTAATTCCAAAAATAAGAAAACCCTAACCGAAAAGGGAATCACATCGAACAAATTCGGGCGAGCTTACCCCGTTCTCTGCTCGAGAATGGTGGGGAACTGCATCTTGATGTAGGTGCACGTGCATATCACGAGCAGCACCACCGTCAGAAACGAGTGGAAATTGAACAGCGCCGACTGCAGAAGTTCAAACCCAAAAAAATTAAGAAAAAGAATCCAACAACAACAACACCAAGATCTGGACCCAATCGAATAAAACCGGAGGTTACCATAACGCTCGAAGTTCGAGAATCCCCAAGCTGGGGTATCTGGATCTAGGGTTCTGGGGCTTCTCTTTTGATCCTCGCAGCAAACCTTTTTTCTGGAAGAGGAACCAATGAAGAGGAAGAGGCTTGAGGTTATGATTCTGATTCATAGGGGTGAGCATTCGGTCGGGTTTCGACGAAAATATTGACAACCGAATGAAACCGACAATCCACATAAAACCGACCCGAACCGAAGTGATACGGTTCGGTTCGGTTCGGTGCGGTCGGTTTACACTAGGAAAAGGTCATACCTGAGGATGCAGGGGTCGAAAGCTGCTCGAATCGATGAGAGGCGACGAGATCTCAGCGTCAGCGGCCTCGAGCGACGACGAAGACGAGCGACGGCCTCGAGGTGGACAGGGATCACTGGGTCGGAGGCGACGGCGGGGATCGGTTGGCGCTCTCCGGTGGGTTTGAAGGGATGGTTGTTTGAGGGGGAGAGATGGATGGGAGAAGGGGGAGGAGGTGAGGGGTGGAGACTGGAGAGGGCAAGGATTCGTTGGATTCGTTGGATTGTCGGCGGCTGTGTTTGGTTTGGTTTGGTTGAAATCGAAAGAAAGGAAAAGAAAGAGTGAGAGAGAAAATTGTTTGCAACTGTTTATTTTGAAAGAAAAAGAAAAAAGAAAATAAAAACAGTAGTAAGCAGAAGGAAAATGGACTAAAATCTTTCCCGTTCCCTTTTCCTCGTCGGGACCTAGTGAAAGCTGCGGGAAATTTATCAGGGAGGATGAAAATGAACTATATTTCTAGTTTTACATCTATTTGTTTGATTATTATTTTATTAAAGCTAGTTTTATATTGAGTTTAGTTGATTTGAGTTCACTCATTGTTTACACACACTCACTTGAGCTTATTGTATTTGCATATATTGTATATTTGGGTTGGTGAGAGTTGTAACAATTGAATGTGAGTTTTCATTGTGTTCTCATCCATATTAGAGAACAATCATTTATTGTAATTGTGCTTATCGTGAGAATCACTTTGTAATACACTTGTACATCAAGAGAAGTGTGTGGCGAGAGTCGGGATCATCCCAAGAGGAGTGGTGTCGGTTGACGAACCTAGGGAGAGGTTGTATCCGAGCACTTGAGGAAGACACGTCTAGTTTCAACACTTGAGAGGGTGTAGAGTGGGATTGCAAGAGTGTTGATTGTAGAGTTTTCGGTAAACTAGAAAACCGTAGTGTGAGGTGTAAATGTTGTTCGGGTAAGTGTAGAAAACCCGGTTGTGATAGTAGATTTCCCTCTGGGAGTGGGGAGCGGAGACGTAGGACGAAAGGTCCGAACTCCGTGATCATATTGTATGTTTGCATTGTTTATTTACACTACCACTCTTATCTTGTTTATGTTTATTTCACCATTGTGTTAGTTTATATATCCTTGCATATATTTTTATCATATAGGATATATCTTATTATTCATATTGTTTATCTTAGCTCACATATCTTGTTGTATTTCATACTTGCTAGGATAACTTGTTAATTAGTTTTAATTGGCATTAAATCAGATTAGATTAGCATAAGATCCTAATCACCCCCCTTCTCTAGGGTCTAATAAGTAATTTTTGACGGGTAGCTCCCACTCTAGCAACGGAAAATTTATCGAGGAGGATGGAAATGAACTCGAACATCACATCACCAAAATTGTTGCTCACCCAGTTGATTTCATGTGGGCCCAAGTGAAAGAATTAAATAGGTGTAGTTCAGGTTTAGGCAAAAACAAACATATTCACTTGTTCTTTATGTGGGCCCCATGCGGCACACGGAAATGTTACATTACCCTGTAGTTTGCCATAAATTAAAAAGGTTTTATTTTAGCCTCTTACGTCTTTTATAATTTGAAATGAGCTCAAATGAGTAAAATTCTACTAGGTCCTCCAATATTCAAGCTAATTCAGAATAATTCCCTGCAAATATTGAAATTGCCATTAGGTCCCTAATTCTCATAAGTTGTTTGAAACTAATATCCTAATTGTTACTTTTACTCTTAATTGGGGCGGACTAATTTCACAATTACATGAGAATTAAGGAACCCAACTAACAAGTTAAATGATTCAGGATTTCAAAATCTCATAATAATTTAAGGGTCTAATAGCAATTTTAATGATTTGAGGGACTCATTCAAAATATGAAAGATGCAAGGGAGTAATATTGGAAAAAGAAACCTTTTCTTTAACTTTTGTGTACACAAGGATATAGCTATTTGCTAATAAGTATCGATCTTTTCTTAAAATGGACCAACAACAGTTGTATCTAATTTTCATCTAGAAAAATAAATTTATAAAATTACTAATATAGATTGTATATAACATGTTAATTGTTATTTCTACATCGTTTTTATTAAATTATTATCATTTTCCTCCCAATTTTCTTTTCAATTCTCTTCCTAACCAAACGATAGAGAGACTCTTATTTTCTTTTATTTTTCTTTCTTTTTCTTTTCTTTTTTTAATTCTTTTTCTTTTCCATCATTTTCTCTCGAACCAACCACAACCTAAAAGAAAGAGAAAGGAAAAAAGAAAGGAAAAGAAAAAAAAAGAAAATGATAATCTTTTTATTGTTTGGTTAGAAAGAATATTGTAGCGAAAGTTAGAAGAAAAATCATAAGAAAGTTATTTTCTCTTGTTTGGTTATCTTTCTGATTAAAAGAGGAAGAAAATTATCACAACATAATTTCAATTCATACTTTTTGGAATTAGATTTAAATTTTAAATAATTTACAAAAATTAATTAAATTAAATTGTGATTCTATCATATTTATAAAAAAATTTACAAGTTACCGAACATGTTTGCACAATCTTAACTCAAGAAAATTTAGTCAAATTTACGATGACTCTAATTTGCGTATAATCTTACATGGTCTTGGACTTGCAAGTTATTCATAACCTCAGGTGAAGAAAGATAATTCCGAATAAGCTCTAGACAATGATGCAGTTCAAGCATAATTATTCAAAATTAGTATCATTCATATCTTGGAAAATAACAGGTTAATAAACATGTATTTAAAAAAATGGGCAATTTCCTAACACAAAAACTTGAGTGGCCATCAACATCAAGTTTGTAAATATTAACAAGCAGAAGCACAACCACAATTCCATATTTCTCACACATAATATTTGTAGAAAGAAATATCAATAAAAGAACCAAAACAAATCTAAAGTAAATTTATGATATTCCTAATATAAAGTATAATCCATTTCCAGTCATAAAGTCTATTAATTACAATCAATTTCATACATAACCAATAAAGTCTATTACAATTAATTTCATATTGATGATCTTAACCAACAAAGCCTATTACAATCAGTTTCATATATAGAGAATCTTAACCAGAGAGAGAGAGAAATATGTCGAAGTCCTTATTTTTGACTTTAGTGAGCCCATCAAAACATCAATCTTGTTTCCTTCATCCCCTGAAATTAATTAAAAAAATTCAAATAAGTAGAATATAAACATCAAAAACCTATAAAATGAAGTCTTAACATTCTTTTGGTAAGTTTGTATATACAATAAATGCTGAAAAATCTACCCAATAAGAAATGCAACATATCATGATCTGAAAGTACACTACAACATGATGGATATATGACTTAATTTAATGATGGTGATCTCTCTGCATCACAAATATATTTTGCAAAAACTAATTTAATTGGTGCACAAAGATGGTTAAATTTTTTGTCGAAAATTTTGAGAACAATACATATAACCCAACTCTGACAGTCGGTTTTACAAGTTGAACCCTCTTGGCAACAGATGTTCTAAAACCCGAAAAACTTAAATTCTCAAGCATGAGAAACAAAACAACATAAAACACCAACATCTGCAGCAATTTAAACAATCAGAAAAGTGACTTCTCTTATATAGAGCCCAATGCAACTATTTACACATGACTTGAAATCTTTGATACACTGGTCCTTTAAAAGGACCCCTCTACCTGAATTTGATATGCATGTACATGGCGAAACGCTAAGAATGGTGTCATTATACATCTTGCATGTATCAGCATCATATCCTTTCTAAACCGCTTTTGGATACAAAATTGATAGCAATTGGATTCTTGTTGGATGTATGGGTTTAACAAGGATTTTTTGCTCAACTTGTTTAGTCAGATAATTTTCTATTTCTCATGGACATACTTTAGACTGAAAGTTATAAACCCATAGGATAAGTATTAATCAAACAATGACAATCATTATATAGCAGAAAACAAATCATGCAGTTGCATCAACCTGCTACCTGCTCATTTGTACATAACACAAGATAAACAGCGTCCAAATATCAACAAAACTTGTACACAATAATTAACACGATAAAAGACTACCAATCATCAAGAAAACTTATCATCAAGAAAACTTACACTGTGTAAATTGAAGAGCTTCTCATTTGTAATTTTCTCAAGAGATAGGGCCAGCTCCATTGCTGCAGATATATTACCAAAACTTAGAAAAGAGCGACATACAGTAGAGATATAATCAAACAAGATTCATAAATAAATCAGACACATACGAATAAGGATCAGTATATAACGTACCATATAGTGCATCTCCTTTCTCAGGGTTATCATACTCAGTATTGGGAGTCATTATCGACAGAAGCTTCACTCTGCCTCCACGTTTGTTCTAATTTCATCAAAAAATTTAGTAATTCAAGTGCCAAGACAATCATATATACAAATAAATCAAACAGAACACAGTTTGCACCTAGTACTCCATTAGTTTCTCTGCATGATCTCGCTCTTCTTCACTTGATTCCTTGAAAAATCTAAGCTCAATAGAACCAAATATGTTCTAATCAAATGGATAAAATAGAAAATAGAGATTGCAGAGGAATCTTAAATTAGAGAATTTACTTGGCTAGGAATCTTAAATTAGAGATTTACCAACTGAATTGAATTGAAATTATAGCTAAACCCCAAACCTATGTTATAAATCACTCCAAAAACAAGAGAATTATTAACCCAACCCTAAAAAAATCCTAAAAATAAAGAGAAGACCCTCAACCCAATAACCCCTTACACTGACCCCCAACAAAAAAAATTATTCAAATATACACAATAATTAAACAACCCATTGTAAAAATTACCCACAAAACTAACAAACCAACAAAAACCCACCAAAACAAAGACTCAAAAATCGACCAACAACCCCCCAGAAAAAAATCGAGATCAAAGGAAAACCCACTTGATCTGAGCAATGATCGCGGCCTTGCACTCATCCACGCACCTCTGACGAGCCAACGACTGATGAGGGGAAGTAGGAACTATGCTAAAAAAGTCTGTGTTAAGAAAATAACATAAAAGAGACATTTTAGCCTAAAGAAATTCTCACATTCCTAAACATGAGGAAAAACCGAATAAACCTTTATTTAAGATTTGGTTTATTATACAACTTTGCCCAACACTCATCACTTGAACATTCATGAGAAATCACACATCCTCAATATTAGATGGCCGTTATATGATCTCGACCTCCTAAATTACACATTACTTGAGAACAATGCTGAAAGATTAATGTAACTCGTCATACTTCACCATGAAGATTCCTCTCTTATTACAACAGTCCTTATGGCCAACTTCCCTAAAATAGACATTCCTTCCTCAGGTATGCCTTCATCAAATCAAACATTGATCTCAACGATTTCCTTCAACAATCTATTAGGTTTCATAATCTCCAACTTTCTCAATATCCTATACATCTAGCATTATAATTCATCATCTAAACTTTGCCCTTTTGATATCTTTCATGTAATCCATTTGCATGGCCTTCAGCTATATCATATATATCTAAAAAATTCTAAACAATATTCCTCAGGAAAATTAAATTTACACAGTTTTTTAATACTGATCTAACTGAACCAAAAAGAAATAAAAAAAAAGGGATCGAGAACCTCACCGCTCCGCACGAGAACTGGGCTTCTCCTCTTCAGAAAGCTGAAACGGGACCCCAAACCTCTCAGCGCATCGCTGCTTCTTCTCGAGATCACAGATCTCCGAGGTTGCCGGCTTCGCGTCCCAGGGGTCCTCGTTTCCGTCGCCGTCGCCGCCGGCGGTCTCCGGTGTCTGCTCCGTCTGAGGCAGGAGAGAAGGTGAGGGGGTAGGAGAGGACTGGGATTTGATCGGCGTCGAGAGTTTGGTCAGCGTCGAACTAGGGTTTAGGCAAAGTTAAACTAGGGTTTTGGAGACGGAGAGAGTAGAGAATTGTCGGAGTTTTGGAGAGAGAGAGAGAGAGGTGAGAGATTGGGGAAAGTCGGAGGCGTCGATTCCGTTTCTCTCCCTCGTTTCACCTGGGCAGCGGAGAGAAATGGGAAAAGAAAAAATAAATACGGGTTTTTCTGCAGTGAAAATTATTTTCATTTTCTTTTTTGTTTTCTTCAAACCAAACAGTAAAAACCCACTTTCTCTTCTATTTTACTTTCCTTTCTCTCCCTTTCTATCAAACCAAACAGAGCCTAAGGTTTAGGAGTTGAGAGGATGAGGGATTTTATACAGTCGGGTGAAGGGAATGGGTTACGGGTAACAGATATTTGTGAACTAGGATTTGAAGTTCGGTCGGGTCGGTTAATACGGGTTGGAGTTGTTGGAACCCGACCCGAACCGATTACACATCAAAACCGCATTTTGTGAAGTTCGACCGGCCGGGTCTGTCGGTTTATTCGGTTTCAACGGAATTTTGCTCACCCCTAAATTTATGAATGCGGAAGTGCAAAAAGAAAAGGGGAAATTTTTAATATATGAAGATCTTTGAGGACCTATATGAAAAAAGACAAGAAATAGAGTGGGGAAAGACAGCCTCAGCCTCTGACACGTAGTAATGCAAATTATTGGATTTTTGAACTGTACGATTCTACTCAAACAAATTATATATTTAATTTACCTTTTTACATAATTCGATCTTTTTTTAATAATATATATATTCCTATATGGGAGAAGCCAAGACGTGCTGCGGTAACATTTTTACCGTAGCATTTATTACTGTAGCAACAGGGAACGAGACAATGTACGATTTTTTTAATAAAAATTCAATGTAGCACCCCCAGAATGCTGTTGTTTTTTTTAAAAAATTAATGTAGCAAATGCGGGATACTGTAGCAAATAAAAAAGTGTCTAAAACTGAGATTACTGTAGTAGGAAAATTGTTAGATTCATAATTAAAAATTATTCGATTATAAATACTATATATAAATATGTAACTTCAAATTTCGGTTCAAAATCTGATTGGAGTATCATTATGCCTCTTACAATTAGTAGAGAATTAAAAATAAAATGCGAGTATGATACAAAAACACATGTTTCAGAATTGGTCAAAGTAGCTTATAAGCTAGTAGGACATATTTGGCGAATACCTTTTTTTGGCCATATATATATGAAAAGTATGATTCTAAGGAGCCACCTTAAATTGAATCTAAATTTACACCTTTAAAATTATGTTATATGCAATCAATTTAATTGATACACAACATACCTAATTTTTTATTTATACACAATCCAAAACATATAGATCAAAATAAACGGAGTGAATCAAGTAAATTAATCAAGTAAATTAATTGCATGTAACATAATTTTAAAAGTGCATCCTTAGATTCAATATAATTATGGCTATTAATCTATATATACTATCTTATATATATAATTATATATATATATATATATATAATATAATATATATATATACCTATATTACAATAAATGGACATGTACATATTTGATTATTATTCTCTTAGATGATACTCTAATCCTTGAGAAATCCAAATTTAATGCTCTAGTGTCTAACCACTCACAAATGGGATGCTTATGATACACTCAGGGTATCCCTTTACCTAATAGGGTTATGAAGCCTCACCTACCAATCTCACATAGTTACTAGAGATAAGGATGTAGAATAATAACCTGTAATACATAGTTGGTATCACTTTTACTAGTGATAGATAGATGAGACGACGAGATTAAGAAATGAGTGATAACTAATCTGTGGTACAAGTTTGCTCCATATACTACTAGCGCGTCGTTTGTTGATAGTGTTCAGCTCGGTGCATCTGGCACAAGAATACTTTATAAGGGGTTTTATTATATGTCTATGAAATCATCTTTACTGATATCTTCTTACACATTGGAGTATAGGTTTATATGTAGTGGGTAAATGAGATTTGAGGCCTTTTAACTTCAAAGGTGTGGATTAGTGTCAGGGGCAATGTGATGAAACTCTCTCATATAACAAATGCTTTCCAATTGTATGGCTTAATATCGGAAATGTCTATTATGTGTGGGTTGCTTTCCTCATAATATACGAACGTAGATAAGGAGTTGGTTTTGGTTGCGGGAGTTGCATTGAATTGAGAGGTTTAGAGTAGCATCCTCCATAAGGGGGCCGGACATATCTGGACCTTTAGGCTGGTGTGTGTGGCGCTATTTTTTAAAAATATGGGGATATTTGAAGGTTCCAATATGGGTAGTTTACCGGTTAATATATTTTACCCCTTTCACCCTTCACCATATATATGTTTACGCGTATAATCAATCTTGTGTCATTACTTCAAATTAAGAAGAGAGCGCTCTAACATAATTTCGTCTCCTAGTCATAACCATGGTTATCACTTGATTGAACCTTAACAGTTGTGGTTATGTCATCTTATCCGTTTGATGTGATATTGATTCTATGGTCAATTCTTATAATAGACGCTCCTCCAAAATCACATCCTATTTTTGAGGTAGAATTTTCGCGTCGTGGTATTGACCCGTCTGTCGTAGCTGGTCATGCTGATATAAAGTAATTTAAATTCATTCAAAAACTCGTTAATATATTAAGATATAGAAATTTAAAATAACATGAAATGGTGGAATATGTTAAAGGTTCTATGTAAACCACGACGAATTACTCAGACTCCGTCGAAAATTTGTGTATGTACGCGAATTTATAGGTGAGAGTTTTACTTTTAGCTAATTTTAAACTCACTAGACTTCAGAGATCAACGGAGTTGGACTCATCACAATGTAGTTTATTATAAATCAATTGTGATTCATTAATGACTCTAAGAATTAACTTTATCTAGTGGAGACGTTTCCATCTTAAGTTGACACATAAAGGTTCTTTGTTACAATTCCGTGTTTATAATACTGTTATTGATATATTCGGAATAAGCTTATATATAATGAATTATTTTTATTATTTTAACTTAATTAATGTAAATATTCTTTGTAGTTTAATTATAAATTAATTTATTTATTTTTTATTAATAAAACCATATTTTAATTAAATTCCTATCTTGAATTAAAAAACGTTAATCATATTATTAAGGGGTGGGAGATTTTAAGGGGAACATGTTGGAGGGGAGCCAACCCCCTCTCTTATAAATTCCCTCTAATTAAGGGATCAGGATCTTGGTTGAGAAGATCTAAGTATTGCAGTATGCAAGGTGATGGAGTAGGGTTGACTCCTAAGGAGACGGGGAGAGATGAGAGATGGGGTTGATGGTAGCGACAAGACTTTTCCACGAGTTTTTTTTTTTTCAAAATATATTTTTTGTTGGGTGAGGGAATTGGATTTTTTTCAATTTGTTTTGGATTTGGGGGTATTGGATGGTGGGGTTGAGGAGGTAGGAAGAGATAGGATAATGAGATTGGGAAGAGAGGAGAGATGGGCAGAAGAATGTAGATGAAGACGAAATCTGTAGGATAACGGTTGTGGGTTAGTCACAAATGTAATTAGGGGATAAAATTCTCACTATAACTTTAGATTTAATTAAATGTAGCGGTATGGGAGAAGTCAAGAATTGAAGCCATTCGCGGACCATTCTACGCAACTTCCCCAACAAAGCACTGGAGAAATTACAAGAAAAGCTTATCATATCCAAAGTGTCTCAGACTCCTCTCAAAAAATGATGAGTCTGAGATACTTTGGAGGGGGTATCTGTAGGCGTTAAAAAAATGCTTACAGACATACAAGTACCACTCGAAACAACATGGAGGAACAATATACACATCGTCAGGCAACACAACGCAGCGCGGCAGGACAAGGTGCCGCGGCTAAGGCGCGGCAGTCCAGGGTGCCGCGGCCAAGGCGCGGCAGCCAATGGTGCCGCGGCCAAGGCGCGGCAGTCCAAGGTGCCGCGGCTAAGGCGCGGCCTGCCGCGCCAATAGCCGCGGCAGTATAGACTGCAGCGGCGAAAGAGAAATCATTCGGGCAGTTATTTAGCCCCTGTTTCAACTGTGGTGCACTGAGACCCCTATAAATACCTCCCTAAACACGAAGCAAAGGACAGAGAGAGCATCCAAGAGGGGGACGGCAGATTGGAGCAGAAAAGGCTTAAGCTTTTGGTGAATTAGAGCAAAAGAGAGAGTCTTCATTCTTCACAAACATCTTCAAGAAGCTTTTGGCGATTCCTAGAGATCTAAGCTCTGACTTGATCTTTAGAAGAGTGAACATCTTACATCGATAAGATATTTGCTTCAAATTCTTACTTCGATAAACGAAGGAAGAATCATTAAACCCCTCACGGTTCAATCAGAATCTGTGATTTGGTGGTCCACGAGTCAAAACGCTCCCGGCACAGGCAAAGATCCCACGCAAGCAGCGATCCAAACAACGATCCTGCGTTTGTTTCTCAAGAGTTGTAATTTTTTAATTTTGTTGTGTAAAAGAGGTCTTATAAAAAGACTATTTCTTTGAATTTGTTGTAATCGACTGAAGATATAATGAATTCCATGACAAAACCAACTTTTGACGCAAACAAACATATGCTGATTACCAGCTTGCATTTCCAACCCCTACCCCGTTGGTGGATAATTTAACCAATTATCTAAAATCAGAGTAAAAAAAAAATGAAGCTAAGATGCGATGGCAATTTTGCATCTGGACGCCTTGATTGATCACAAAACAAGGAAAAAGTTTAACATAAAAAGCATATCCACCAGAGAGCAGTGGCGGTCCACCAGCAAGCTGAAAGGAACCGGAACCAACAAAAAAGATAAAAGCTACAACATAAGAGCAATATTTCCCTTCTACCTCCAGCAAACAAAATTACTGACATTATCACAAACCATAAGCTGTCACTTTACATTACCAGCATTCATAAACGTCATCATATGGTGTACATATTCTTCAGTTCAAACCCCACGTATTATTGCGAACCAGCAGATACACAGCCCTTTAAGCCAGAAGATCACTGACCCTTGGTTCTCAGGCATTAGCACCCTTGCCAGCTGATTTGGCAGATTCCTCGCCATTGCCTGCTTTCTTGGCTTTCTTCACTTCGTAATCCTTGACAGCAGCCTTGATAGCATCCTCTGCAAGCATGCTGCAGTGGAGCTTCACTGGTGGAAGGGAAAGATGCTTTGCTATTTCACTGCAGAAATTTGGGGGGAGCTAAGCATATTACAAAACAAAATATATTCTCAAAGTATTTTCTCAAGGTGTTTTCTCAGATTTGGGTAAAAAAGCAGATTAAAAAAAAACACCAGCACACAAGCATAACAAAGCATCTTCTCTAAGTAACTTGACCGATCTTTTCAATGAGAAAAATTAAACCGGATGAACTAAACTTCCACGTAAAAAGAAGATTACAAAACAGCCTAATGCAACAGTTAACTGTTAACCAAAAGAGATGCTCAGCAATCCCTAATGTTCTGGTACGGCGTGATTGACAAAACAATATTAAACAGTAGAGCTCTGGCAACTGATGGTAAAATATTATATATGAAAAACTGAGAGAAGGAACAAGATGACAGCATTCACACACTTACGGAATCATCTATGAGAACTGTTTCCAGATGACCACAGTACCTGTTCATTTTACAATATGACAAGACTTTAAAAGGGAGTGAGGGTGCTAGAAAGAGAGATGTCTAAGCGTGGAACTACCACATGTATTATTAGCAGAAAATTTTGATTTAACTGACGTCCCCATACTTACAAATTACATCTCAAACATCAGCTTAATGTGCAAAGCTGAGTGTTTATTAAAGTCAACATGCCTATGGTAACAGACCAAGGTAATCATTTGCATATACCAAGCAGCCGTGGAAATACATTAGCTATTAAACGTCTTTCAGAATAATAAACAATCATTCTTTAAGTATTTTAAGGGAATATAAATGGAGCCTGAACCTGAACTACCGAACTGAAAATCACATACCACTTGTGTTCAAGTATTCCTTGTGAATATTCTGAAAATGTCCACCAAGTAAAGGTATGCAAATCAGGATAACAGAAACAACACTTTGGTTTTCAAAATTCATATGCTTGAATCATGGGCAAAGTTCCTCTCAGAAGCATGCAAATCAGGACAGTTCTTATACAGATTATTTGGATCCAGCAATATGCATCCTTCTCCATGCTACATCCTTTTTCTTGATCAGTTCTATCAAGAACCACATCCTCAATCCAATTAACTGACTACGTATTTACCTGCAACCTCTCAATCCACATAATTGGTTTAACCCTCCTGTCAAACATGGCCTGAAGTCTAATTCAGTGTCGTGTCCAAGGCCAATCTAACACACTTTTCTATCTATGGCAGCCCAGACCCTCCCACATTTCACCTAACCACCTGGGAAGGCGTGGGGAATAGGTCTGGCGGGGGAGAGAAGCGAGCTATTTTGCTTTTGCAATGAAGTCATGCTCTACTTCCCATTTTTTACTAGGCAATCAGAATGCACATAATCAAGAATGGCTAGATACAAGAAATTGAGATTCATAACCCGACATGTATAATTCCTAAATAAGTCACTTTTCCTGTATGCATGCCCTAATGCTGTTTAGTTTGAAATTTTGGAGCTCCATGTTGCTCCAGCTAGCAATAACCATCTCCATAGGTTTGATGTAGCAGCACTGTGATTGCAGCAGTTGGAGCTGGAATGAGCCCTTCTGGAGCAACCAAAGCTACACTCAAATATTTGCATCACAAACTAGAAGTTGCAGCAGTAATAATAAACTCCTCATCTAATCAGGACAGAATAATGTTAAATAAAGCACTAGGCACGGCAAGGTACCAAACTGGTGCCTAGGTGGACATCTAGGCAGGACCTAGGCAGATTTCTTTTTTCTAACATGGTGGTGGAGGTGTTGCTCAAGGTCGAGCCGTCGAGGAGGTGGTGAAGGGGTTCATAGTCGATGGAGGAGGCCGGAGGTTGGGGACATAGAGGCATTGAGGCAACAGTGAGGAACTCTCCACGTAAGCGGCCCATGCCGTCCTAGGCGCTCTCAAGACCTAGGCATCATAGGTGAGGTAGGTCATGGTGCTGATGGATGGGCGGTTGGACGCGTTGCTCAAGGTCAGAAGAGGTGGTGAAGGGGTTCGTAGTCGATGGAGGAGGCCGGAGGTCGGGGACATAGAGGCAACGGTGAGGAACTCTCCACGTAAGCGGCCCATGCCGTCCTAGGCGCTCTCAAGACCTAGGCATCATAGGTGAGGTAGGTCATGGTGCTGATGGATGGGCGGTTGGACGCGTTGCTCAAGGTCAGAAGAGGTGGTGAAGGGGTTCGTAGTCGATGGAGGAGGCCGGAGGTCGGGGACGTAGAGGCAACAGTGAGGAACTCTCCGCGTAAGCGGCCCATGCTGTCCTAGGCGCTCTCAAGACCTAGGCAAACGACCTGGGTACCGCTTAGGCCTAGGCACCCGCTTTTAAAAAATAGTGGGATAAAGATAAGCGTCTCATACTTAAGAATAAACATGAGTATCTTGTATATGTTGTGCTTTTACTGTCAAAATGGAGTCATCTACAAGATTCCTCAGATTCTAACCTAGAATTATAAAGAGGTGAAAGTTATATATATTTTGAGAGCTCGAGAGAACCGCATAAATTAACAACCTAACTTATTGGCACATAAAAGGTGTTTACTAGATAGATTCCACTCCCTAATTCACTCGCCCAAAGTGATGCTCGAATCAGGGTGAATCAAGTAGAGGACCACCTTTCCTACATCGGATGTCTGTTAAAGAAACTAAACCTTCCAGTTCTACTCACTTCTTTAAAATCCAATACTTCAAATGTCAATACATGCGAATCTTCCCTCACATGCTGCAGATGAATATGTAAAACAAAAGCTCGAAAGTACTTAAAAGATAAGACTGCATTGTAAATTAAGCTGAACATGACATTGCAAAATATGAGGATTTAGTTTATCTCAGAAGTATGTAATATGTAACCAATGTGCATTTCTACTTCACCTCCATTTTAGGGGATTATGATGAAATAGTCCCTCTTATTTGGTCTAAACACATAGTCCTTATCTTTATCGAAATAAATAGTTCTACAGTCAGACTAGGAACTACTTATGAAAGATAAGATGCTGACAAAAAAAAACCAACCAGAGTTGCCGCTAAAGTCTAAACAAAGAGCTTGCTTTGCCATTCTAAAATCTTGTAAGCAAGTACAGTCATGACCAAATAATGGGTATGGTTTCAGAGATACTTTCAGTCACTTTCCTCATAGGTCCAGCAGAAAAGGGATATGTAAATGAATGTAACAAAGAAAGGGACATGCAAATGGAGATTGAAAACTGATGACTCTAAGAACGTCGCATAACTTATAAGATATGAGAACTAATAGATAAGGAAAAAAGCTACAATTATCTGCATGAGAATCTGGATTGTGTAACTGTCTAGGACTACTAAATAATGGGTATGATTTCAGAGATACTTTCAGTCACTTTCCTCATAGGTCCAACAGAAAAGGGATATGTAAATGAATGTAACAAAGAAAGGGACATGCAAATGGAGATTGAAAACTGATGACTCTACGAACGTCGCATATAACTTATAAGATATGAGAACTAATAGATAAGGAAAAAAAACTACAATTATCTGCATGAGAATCTGGATTGTGTAACTGTCTAGGACTACTAAGCCCAAACGTAATAAAACTAATATTGATTTGATAAATTTTTAAGGACTAGTCCGTGTTTATAAAAAACGAGGGCTCTGCAATCAAAAGGACCATATATAATTGTCCCTTATTCCAGCACATATTCATATCATTTTAGAATCAGGACTGTGGGCCACCTAGGATGCTAGGGAAAAATCTTTATGAACCAATAGGTTGCATTCATCTAGTTCTTTCTATTTTTAGGAATTTATCTAAGCAGTAAAACAAAACAAAACCAGAACGCTATCACTATAATTAACGATCCTCATCTATGCTTTTTCATTAAAATGGGGCTATCTAGAAGATTAATTTATCTCGAACTAGAACTGCAGAGACACTTTTTTTTAATTTTATATTTTGAAGACCCAAAATAACTGCAAGTATCATGTCAGCAAATAGGCATGCCGCATTGATATTTCTTGATTAAACTAGGAGCTTATACTAACAACTTGAGGGTTATACTTTCTATTACATATATATATATAAAAAAAAAGGATTTACATGAGAAACATGAATTTAAGATAGATGTAAAGAAAGAATCAGACCCAGAAACCCACAACTTCTTGAGAGTGAAAAAGCACAGAAATTGAGAAGTAAAGGGTCACTTACGTGTTTTTGATGGTCACAACTTCCTCCATCTGTTTTCCCTTAACCCATTCAGTAGCTGCAAATTGTAAAATCAACAAGTTCTAAGAATCCCATAATGACAATACAACAAAGGCCTCAATACACTGTGTGGCTCAAAAACAATGCAACAAGTTGAAATTGCAAGTTACCCAATAATGCAAGATTATAATTTTCTTAAAAACTAAAAAACATTACTCACATAACTATGCCAATCTAGTAGGCAGTATCTACCGGTAACTTCATGAACTTGCATCATCCCTTTACAAAAATATAATAAAAATAGATAAAAAGAAATTTTCTGGAGAAAGAAATTGTTCCGGGACGGGAAATCAAAACTAGCCAAACAATTCAACCTACAATTTTACCAATCAATGAAAGGGGAATCAAAACTAACCAAACAATTCAACCTGCAATTTTACCAATCACCGCAATAAACATTTTCTGTAAACCTACAAGCAACAATAATCACGTTCACATAATAAGCTTAATTCAACAAAATGACCGATAATCCCCCCAAAAATGTAGCTTTAGCCCATGTTCATCACATGCATAACAAAAATATTCTTTAAACAGAAATTATATACAAAATCCCCAGAAATCAAGACATCACATGCATAACAAAAATATTCTTTAAACAGAAATTATATACAAAATCCCCAGAAATCAATATATCTACGAGCACTCGAATCAAGCAACCAAACCCAAATAACTGACATAGACTTTCCTAAACAGGAAATCAAAATTAGCCAAACGACTCAATCTCCAATTCTACCAATTAATTCAATTAAAAAAACCTGAAACAATCAAATGTAATCATGCTGACATAGTGCAACAAATAATTCCCAAAAATGTAGCCAAAGCTTGCATCATATAAGTTTTCTGAAAAATAAAAAAAAATTCTCAAAAAAACCCCGCAAAACACCAAACTACTCGAACCTGCACCCTCACCAAGAAACAAACCCAACAATTAAATCCGCAATTTTTCCAATAAAACCGTAACCTGACCCCTAAGCGTGCTAACAAATCAATCAAAATCTCACCAACAGACGAAGATGCAATCGCCGACCCGCAACCAAAGGTCTTGAAACAAGCATCAACGATCTTCCCCGTCTCATCGTCGACCTTTATCTGGAGCTTCATCACGTCACCGCACGCCGGAGCTCCAACGAGCCCCGTTCCCACCGTTGGATCGTTCTTATCGAAGGATCCGACGTTCCTAGGGTTATCGTAGTGGTCCACCACCCTCTCGTGGTACGACCTCACCACAACAGCCGGCGGTGGGATCGCCGGTCTCTGTGCTAGCCCTAGCAGACGCTTGGCTCCAATACGCAGCATTTTTTTTTCTAGGGTTTCGGCTCGTTTCGTATCGTTTCGGGTGGAGAAACCCGAGATAAGGAGGAGTTTCGATGGCGGTGGAGGGACTTGAGGGTGCGGGATTAATAGAACAGGGAACAGGTAAGATGTTGCAAATGATAGAGTGACACGTGGATTATATTCCCTTTTTTTTTTTTTTTGCCTCCTCACGAACTGGAGCCACAGGTTATTTTATTGAGATTGAAATAGAAAATTAGCATTTGGATAGGAAAAGTATACACAATCTAAATTTATATTTGCCAAAAGTAATCACATGGGAAAATGGCAATTAATTTTTGGGTTATTCAGATATCAATCCCTCACATATTCAATAGTTCCATATTACTCCCTTGAATTTTTGAAATTGCTCATAATCCCTAAATCCTAAGGATTCTTGCAATTTGGTCCCTCAATGACCAAATGCCCTACCTGATGTTTGTTGAAGGTATTTTGCAATTTGGCATTCTAAAGTTTACATATTTTAACTTTGATAACCCAAAGTTATTTTTGATGCGTTCCAAACAAAAGTTTATAACTTCTTTGAGTTTGATATTTTTGCCACTTTGCTACCCCAAATTTTACACATAAACTCTCCTTTTCCAAAATATTCCACATTTTGAAAATTTGTTACCTTAAAGTTTACACATGTTGTTAACTTTGATGCAGAGAACTTTGGTGTATTAAGGCACTGTTTGACAACAAGAGATTGTGTCTTATTAACTTGGTCAATAAACTAGTAGAGCTGTTTGGTGACAAAAATAGGAGGAGATTATTTTAGAGATTGTGTCTTTTGCAAGTAGCTTTTGGAAAGCTACCTCAAGTAGCGTTTGTCTTTGGGAATGATCTGTTAATTTTTTTTCTTCCATTTTTGCCCCTAATAATTAGGGCAAATGAAACCTACTACTCCACCAAAAAAACCCTAGCTCTTTTTCATTTCACGCGTGACGCCCCTTCTGCTTCTCCTGAGCATGTTTCTCCTCCATCTCTATTGAAGGCCAATGTCAAGGTAGTTTCGACCCTCCCATTGGACTTCCTTTGTTTGTCCAACCCATCATATCAAGGTAAGTACCCAAAATATTTTTTTTTATTTTTTCGGATTCCGTTTATGGTTCTCCTTTTGCAAAATTTTGTCTTTTATTTTAACTGTTTTATTTTTTTCTCTTTTGTTTTGATTTGGTAGCCATTATGGTTCTGATTTGTTTTGCTAATTATGTGAAGATTGTTTAATAGGAATTCTAGGTTGTTTGTTTAATAGGAATTCTAGGTTGGGTTTGGGGCTACTCTGATCTCGGTTCTGTCCATCCTATTTTTCTGTTCTCGGTTCTGTCCATCCTATTATTTATAGAATTATGATTAGAAACGTTGCTTCAGTTCTATTTTCTTGGTGTTTGTTTCAAATGAAATAGAACAAATTGTCGACATTTTCTTTTAATTCTTAAAAACATTGAAGTAGTATTATAATGTGTGTTTTTGTCTATATTATAGATGGAATCAAGTAATGATGATGTGGACAATAAAAAAATAAAGTTACTGATGATGTGGACGGAAAGACATTTAACTGGATAAACGATTTTACGATTGTATTCTTGGAGCTGTGTTTGGCATTCGTTGCTAAGAATGGCCGCAATCAACTATTCAAATGGCGAGACATTGCCAAAGACTTTGAGGCAAGAACTAATCAGAAAGTTAATAGTTATAGAAGTTTAAAAAACAAGTATGATCAAATGAAGAGAGATTGAAGAATTTGGAAAGGTTTGAAGCAATTTGAAACTGGCCTAGGTTGGGATTACATAACTAGAAAGCTTGATTGTTCCAATGAGACGTGGGAGATAAAAATCAAGGTTAGTTGTTTTCTCACATAGTCATAATTGGTAATGTTAAGGAAAGATAATATTTTGTTTGATTTAATAGTATACGATATTGTGTAGAAGAAACCTGAATCTAAAAAATTTCGTAACAAAGGGGTACCACACGCCATTGAAGAGCTATGGGATCAGCTATACTGAGATGTAGTAGCTAACGTGTTAGAATGCGTTACTCCCGGCATGAATCCTTCAAGTGTGGTTATGAATGATGTACAATCTGGAAATATTGAGGGGGTTCAAGTAGGTGTTGAAGAAGAGGAAACCAATAGTGAAGAGAGAGTACTTGGTGAGTATGAGGATACTCAAGATCAAGTTTACTCAGAATATTGTCAATACTCATCTCGCTTGGAAAACCTAGAAAGAAGTGAGGGTACTTTTTGGCTTGAGTTTTCAAATGAAGTGCTTAATGCTAATAAACAACAACCTAACCAAAGCCAAGGTGTTACCCAAGTACCAACTAGTGATAGGAGGACTTCTAAAGAACAACAAAAAACTGCCACAAAAAAACAGTGAATTTTGTGCCAATGAAGCGTAAAAGGAGACAATCTACAGGATCAGCAATGATGAACCGTCAATCGTAGTTTCTAAGAGGCGCCAACCAATGCTAAAGAAGCTTTTAATCGTGTGCATTCATCTCTCCATAGTTGTATTGAGAGATCATTTGGAGTCTTGAAGAAAAGAAGGAAGATTCTTCACCAGATGCCACAATATAGTGTAAAGGCCCAAATTGATATTATTATGGCTGCATTTGCATTGCATAATTATATTCGTATTAACTCGGTTGATGATCCGTTGTATATAGTGTTAGAACAACATCCAACTTATGTACCCGAAGATGAAAATCAAGATGAACTCGAGGATCCTGATGAGAATAGTAATTCTTCAAGAGGGACAACTTCTCAAATGAGTGAAGTTCGTGATAACATTGCTCGCTTATTATGGGAGTCAATATGATAAATTATTTTCACATTAGCTATTTTTGGCGATGTATAGACGAGAGATACTTGTTTTTGGAAATGTATAATTGAAAAACAAGTTTTGGATACTTATAAGTAAATAAGTAGGTAAATAAATAAATGAGTGTTGAATAATTCTAATTTTATATCAATAATATTGTATGTCCTTATTAGTCATTTAACAAATTTAAGCTAGTTGTACAGCTACTTTTGACAAACAGCTCTACTTCAATCAGCTAGCTACACAGCTATCAGCTTTCAGCTACAATTTCACAGCTTTTAGGTAGCTTAACATCTTTCAGCTATAATCTCGCAGCTTTCAGCTAGTTTTGCCAAACAGAGCCTAAAGTGTCAAAAACAAAGGATAAGGGTATCAAGTTAAAAGTTGGACAAATTATTAAAATAGACATTTTTAGAAACTTAATCATCAAAATCAACCCAGTTGCAACTTGTTTAGCAATTTCAGTGCTGAAACTAGGTTGAAATTATGAAATATATTTTGCAAACTCTACATGATTGAGAATCTCATGTAGTTTAGCAGAAAATTAAACTTCATGGGATTCTCAATCCCATAGAGTTTAGAACTCTATTAAACTTCACGAATTGGGAATCCCATATAGTTTATAGCATAAAAACTACATAAGATTCATTATCCTATGTAGTTGGTTAAGTGGTTAGCTTCAAGAGAGTTAGATTTCAATTACTCAAGTATTTTTTTATTTTGAATCTCATCATTGCCAACATTAATTTTATTTTTATATCTATCTATTCAGAAGTTAACTCTTATGCCTCGTTTAGTACGCGAGAATGAGTGTGAATAAAATATAATTCCAACTCTTTATTCATGCCTACTGTAGGCGGTCTAAAAATCACAATAGATAGCTTATTCAAACAAGCTCTGACAACGGAGGTCACAATCAGACGACTTCCCAATCACTGCATCCGCAACTCCACAATTGCCACAAACGCGACCTCACTTCTGAGATGATTGATCTTGATGGCTGTGACAACAGCATGGCTAATATCATAGCAACTATTAGAGATGCTGATGAGCAGTGAGACGATTTCAGAAATAAAATGTTGGACTCAGTTGGTGAGTTGCTTGGTAGAGAGCTGTGGGCGAATATTCATCTTTAAGACACTATGGATGTTGATTCCCGTCTAGCTCCTACAACGAAAGCTACAATCAAATAGTTTTCGGGTCGGTGAACGAAAGTTGCGAATGGAGGGCTTTTCACATAGATCGAGAAGAGTTACAATTCAACGACACTTCTGACGATTGATGAAAACTCTATGCAGCAGTCTTCACAATCTACAGTGAAAGTTACAATCTGACGGCTTTCACACCCCACAACAGCTAAAGCTAGGATTATTGAACAACGGTCCTTGCAACACTCTACAGAAGAAGTTACAAGTCAAATGGCTCCCTCTGAAACGCGGATGTCATCCCCGCATCACCAATTTGGAAATGAAGGCGACCCTCACGTCATCAATGCACAAGCCAAACGTGAGCGACCCTCGCGTTCAATGGTGTTCAACCAACAGCGATCCTCGCGTCATCAAGGCACAAACCAAACGCGAGCGACCCTCGCGTTCAATGGTGTTCAGCTAACACCCAACTTCGCGTCTCAATTCAAAGAACACGAAGTTGAGATTCTGAACGCTAGATTGGGCGTTTGACTTGTTCAAACACGAGTCGAACGGTTTCAGAACCGTTTATCCCACGTTCTGAGGGATTTTCGCCCACGTAGGAGCGGATATAGGGGTCAGTTACAACCCCTTATCCCCCTATAAAATATCAACAAACTCGACAGAGTTAAAGGATCGGATTTTTGATAATCAGATCAGAGGTTGGATTCTTTATCATCAAAACCACTCAGGTTTGGAGATTCGGCAACAACAGCAACGAAATCCTTGGAGTTTATCATCAAAATCACTCTGGTTTGGAGATTCGGCAACGACAGCAACGAAATCCTCGGAGATAGGATTTTTGAATCAACCTCAGAAGATCAAATCTGAGAGGATTCTTCGACAACAGAAAAACAGCTTGATCCTTAACCGAATTTTCGGTTCCAACAACTCTATTCACAGAGTTCAAACTCGTTCAGAGTTCTTAAACTCATTCAGAGTTATTCATAAAACTTTCCACGAAAGTTCATCGTTCCCACGAGATAAAGACGGTCGGATCGTCAACGGAGAGCAAGTTCGACGCAATCAATCGAAGGAAGCACT